GCTCAGTAGCTCCAGTGTTAATAAATTTCCGTGATAGTTTCCTGTTCCACGAGCCTCTTCCGCAGTAACGTTTCTCCAAGAAACAAGCAGAATCAATTCTTTCCTCGCGGAGGACACGAGGAACTGCCCCTGTTGAACCCGCGATCGCCGCTCCTCCCCCAGCGATTGTTCCCTCAATTATGCACCGTCTAATTTGAGCGCGACGCGAGGGCCCTCCGATACAATTCCATCGCGGCGTGCCATAATACCGTAACTTTCTCCAGGTTTTCTCTCGCCGGCAAGAACGGGCAATTAAGAGGCTTAATCAGGAATACCGCCGCGGCGGTCCACGCCCTGTCATTTGGCCGCTCGCTGCGACCCCTAATTCAATAAAGAGTACCGGATTAGCCGGCAGAATCAACAGACCTGCGAAATCTTGTCGGTCTAATCGAAAAGCATCCAATAGCGACGCAGGAAACCTTCTATTTCCGCGAGAGGAAAGAAAGACGGGCATTAAAAAGAACGTTTCACGACGTGTCATTCTTCTCGATCGAAAAATCCCCGAGAAATTGGATCTCCCTTCGCATTCGAGCGTCCTCGAGCACGTGTAAATTTCGGGGACAATTTCTGAAACACCCGTCGCACGGTTACGAGCCCGCGGCGGTCCTATTTAACACGCTAGAACGATAAAGAACAATTCGCGCAAACGCGTTTGTCAGCCGGCGGCCTCGTTCCGAGCGAGCGCTAGCGTAACAGATTCTACTGACCCATTTCAAACCGGCGACTCGTATCTCGTGCGTGATCTAGCTGACGGCCGGCGACACTCTATGAATCGTTCCAGCCTATTCATTTCATAGAAACGGGGGAGGTCGGAGAGGATTCTAATAATAAAATTGGGAACTTTTAATAGCGTCCGCCCCGACGGCGAACGCGCGCGCGCGCATTAATCGACCGTAACCGACGACGGCACACGGGAATAAACGAAACACAACAAACAACACAAACAACCGAATATTCGGGAAACCGCGCAGAATAAACAGGCGGAATTCCCGTCTCAGCCGGCGCGCTCCGGATCGCGCGTCCGTCATTCAGTCAGCGCCGGTTTATTAGGCTGCGGCCCGATCGAATTATCTCGTCCCGGCTCCCCGATCCGTCGGCAAGACGCATTTATTCGGCAAATCGGGAATGTGCCGGCCGAAAATAAACGTCGCGCGGCAAAAACACCGGGAGCACGCGCGGCCGCTCGCGCCCCCGCGAAATTGAGTTACCGCCGCCGCCGCCTCGTTATTCTCACGAGACTCGAAATAAAGTGGCGGGGACATCCCGCAAGGATTGAGTTACCGTCCACTTAATTGACCGCACGCAGAAACGAGAAGAGGACACTGATTGACAGCGAGATGCAGCTGTCATCACGGCCGGACCCCAACCGAAGGAGGGTGATCGCGCGCGGTTTAATTGGTCTTTAGCGACGGAATCCCGAAACTTGGGGCCAAGCTGACGGGGATGGAATCAGGAACGCAGCGCAGCGACAGCTGCGTCGACTTCTTTCGGCTTCCGAGCGATTAGGTGCCGTGAGCTGAAAGGCTTAGAAGTTTAGGGGATCCGTCGCCTACGGTGCTGAATTATTTAAGAAACTGCGACCGACTGTGGCGCTTCGTTAAGCTAAAAGTGATCATTCGATAACGATCTCGAAGACATAGACGACAGTAGAATAACAATGAAATTCTGCAAGTATTCCAGATGAAAGAAACGATCAATCCTTCATCCGATAGACTCTAGGAGCCTAGACACCTCTACAGCTCCACTCGGTTTCCCTGAAATCTCTCGTTTCCCTATCGCTTCTGCACACAACAGCAAATCAAGATATTCCGCAATGTTCCCCAGGAAAATCATCTCCTTCCCAGGAACCCGAAGGAAACCCGCACCCGGCCGCTGAACGTAACGATATACACCGTATCGATAAACCAAAGGGCGTCGGGCGGGCCGATTCCACGCAATCGGCGGAAATCCAGTTCAGTTTCGGCATCAAAGATGCAACGTGACACCGTGATCCCCGGGTACGTACGCGAAAACCAATAAGTCGCGCGGATTTGGTGACGCAGCCCGACGACCGGCGACGTCACCGTCGTCGGTCGCGACGAATTTCTCGGATTACATAAACCCAAATAGTCCGGTGAGTCATTCTAATTCTGGTATCCATCGGGGTTGCATATCGTCCCCCCCCCGCCCCCTCCTCGGCGTCCCGCCGCCCACCTTTTTCCCTCTTTCGCCTCCTTTCGTGCATGTCCTAGGCGTCGTCTTCTCGTCGGTCCATCTGTCTGCCTTATAAATAGCCGCGGCACGTGTGTCGTCTCGGACGCACACGATGGCCCACTTTCCACTTCGACCTCACTTTCCCCCTCGCCGGCCGCCCCCGTTGGTTCGCCCGAAATTAGAGAACCGAGAACCCGCCCCGCCCCGCGACGATGTTTTTCCGTTTTCCGTCTCGCCGCGCTCCGCCGGCCCCGGATCCTCCTCGGGCGTTCGCCCGTATCCCCTTCGCTCCTGCGCCGCCGCTGTCCCGAGGACACCGGGACCCGGGATATTTGCATTGCTCGACACGGAAACACTTTTTCCGCGGCACCGGCTGGATCCGGCGCCGGGGAGAGGCCGACACCGCGCGCCGACGGAATCGAAGGAAGACGGGGGATGACTTTTAGGGGACGCGGACGGCGGCGGGCTCCTGCGAGAGTTATGCCGACACCTTCGAGAGTGAGACGGGCTTCGGGGTGAACGGAGAGTATCGAGACGAAGTGCTCCGGGAGCAATTGCTATTGATTGAGGTATACGATGTTGCTGGGAGGTTGAACGTTTCGTACAGGATCAGACGTTTGTTTCGTTGGAATTTCGAAAGAGGAGGTTCGTTCAACCCCTTGACCTACAATATCGGACGCGACGAAAATTTTCAACGGAATTTGGGAAATCTCATTGTTATCTACTTCGCTTGAACATGAATTGAATATTACTTTCCCATTATCATTGGTTGGGGTCGTAGTTAAAAGATAGATCATAGGGTAAAGAGTTAAGGTAATAGACTGTTAGTCGTCAGCTGGTACGGTCAAACGAGGTTCATTTAGTCCGTTGCACTCCGAGCAATTTTTAATATGACCCTTCAGCAACTTCATTTTTGCTACCAGCTCTAGTATTTACAATGGCCCGAGCACGCCTCTGTGAAAGAATCAAGATCCTTTGTCATTAAGAAGAACGCGTATTCATTTTAAACTTGTTTGATTAAGAACAGAGCTGTCGAGTTATATTATCAAGCAGTGGTACATGGAGTGTAAAGGGTTAATATCAAACTTTGTATAACGTATCATTGAAGCATTGGAAATAATGGTTAATTATCTTTTCATCCCCTTGATCCGGGGGTGTTCCTTGGGCTGGTATCTAAGTAGTATTCGGGAATGCTTCAGGTTTGTCGTGGACATCGATGGAGATAAAGAGACGGTAAGCCTTTGAAACGTCATCACGTTTGAGGAAATGACAGTTGTGCTACATAGTTGAATAATAGAGATTCCTATATTATTAAAGGAGCCGAAGAATGCAGCGACGGACACTGTCGACTCCCCGTTGACCGTGACGACGCGTTTCTCGCGAGCGCGGACCGCGAAACGAATAACGAAACCGGGATGCGTCGTCGAGTTACCTTTTCAGCGGAACGACCGGTTCACCTCTTTCTTTTGGAAAATTAATTTCGCTACGGCATATTACCCCCGGGCTCCTCTTATTATTAATGTTCTTGTTCTCCATTCCCAACGGAAGTAGCCGGCAACGAAGGGAAGCTTTCCGTTTCCCGCGGAAAATAAATAAACCGCTCCGTCCTCCCGACACGGCATGTCACGTGTCACGGGAAAAATGCAGGATGGCGACTCGCGACCTCGCTAACTCCTCCCTGAACGCGACCTCGCGATGCGACCGCGACACCGGCCTTTCCCACGCCGCGGCGTGCACCGCCGTGCAATAACGAAGCTGCAGATTCCGGCCGACTGCGTCGTGTACGCGGCGATTTCTCTTCTGGCGATCGGATCGTCGCGATAACTTCGGGACGCTTCAAATAATCTAGCCGAAAGTGTTCTTCAACTGAACTTTGAAGTTTGTATTACCTAAATTCTACTCGATGATCTAGGTTATTGATAATCGAAAATTTGTAATGTACACTTCTATTCTTTATTATAAATCTAATTATAATTAGAGTCTATTCGTTTGGAATAGGTTGATTCAATCTTATAAGGAATCTGTTATCTAAATTATGGACGATTTTAGTTATTAATAGTGTTAACTTTTAATGTATAATTTTGGTCATTGATGATTAGACATTGTAATGGATAATTCTATTTTTATTATAAATCTAATTACAATTAGAGTCCATTTATTTGGACAAGGTTGATTCCATCCTATAAGGAATTTACCATCTAAATTAGGGTGGACGATTGTAACTATTAATAATGTTAACTTTTAATGTATAATTCTTCCGTTTATTGTCATTTCCAATTGCATTTAAGTTCTATCTATTTAGACGAGATTGCTTCAATCCACAAGAAGCTGTAAGAGAAAAATGGTGGACCTCGTCTTTGGAATTAGCGTACAGTAACTTGTGCTGTCCATGGACAGACAAGAGGATTCAGCTGAAAGTCCTCGACCCGCGTCCATTTATTTCGATTCTCTGATCGATTGTGTACAAGAACTATAACATAATGATCCCATATATAATTCTAAGCGCTTCGGTGAACACTGGTGATAATGAATAGTAAATTACAACCGCTATAATCACATGGTACAATAACACGAGGCGGTGTGCGGCAGCTGAAACCGTCGGAGCAGAGACAATAAACGTTTCGAAACATCGGTCCGATGTTTTCTTTCAAAGCATAGAAAGCGACTCCGGTTTACCGGAAGTAATATGCGCCGCGTATCTATCAGATTCATCTCTGGTATATAACACCTGGCGTGAACCGAAAATCCGGTCAAATAACCAATGAGTGGCGCGCAACGATGGTGAAACCACGCGGGTTCTCTGCTGCAACGTTATTCGTGATCCTCGGTGTGAATTTAGTGGAAACCTTGGTGCCTGAGAGCCTGTCTAAGCTTCTGGGATCATTAACATCTATTAAACAGTATGTTAATTCATTCCTACTACAATTAACTCTTCAACCAGCTCGATGATCAGTCTATCTCCATTGTTTTCGGGGGATCGATCAAGAAATCCTCAACGACCGATCGTTCGATTCTACAGAACGATTAAATAATCGCTAACAGATGAAGTGTTAATCTAATTTCCGCGGATGCACAAGAACTGCAGTTGCAATTCGTGTCGTTGCAGTGTGAGGATCCCCGAGCTTCTGAATCAGCTGTGCAACGAATCGCAAGGCTCCGACGCGATTCGTCAGGACGCTTGCTACGGCTGCTTCTTCAAGGCCACCAATCAACCCTTAAGTCTGCCTATGTTGGTAGCCATGTCCAGCTGCGCAGACCTTTATTTGAACAATACAGATTACGGACACTGCCAGCAATATTTAAATGTAAGCTCGAACATCTCGCGGAATCTCATTCGAATGTTTCAACGAATTTTCTTAATAGATTATTAATGAGAATCTTTCAAACAGAACGCTACCAGCACGCTAAACACCAGAGCTAATCCTACAACGATTTACTGCACGTTCCTCGAGTGCATTCGCCAGGTGAACAAGGACAATTTGGTAAGCGATTGTTTCGTAATTCTCTCACGACGAATTATCCTATAGATTACCTCCCGTTCGGGTAAATTATCTTTCCAATTTCCTCGGTAAGTAATTATTTCGTCACGAGAAAATTCCACGCACGATAACGTCGAGGGGAAAGTTTTATGGACGGCTCGATAAAAGATAATGAATTGATCTTAATACACTCTCTCCCCGGCCGATTACATCAGAATTTATGCGACCCGTTGCTCGACGCATCGAGGCTGCATTATCCGTGTAAATAATGTACATAAGGGCATAAAGAAAGAGTGGCCGTAAATATTGAACAGGAGGCGCGTGTGAAGCCGAGAACGTCGCCAGGGCCGAGGAGGGCGTCGGCGAAAACTTCTTTCATATACCCGAAACTGTATAAACAAATAGCGCGAAATATTTGCATCTTATGGGTACGGGACACCGAGACGAACACCGTCAGGCCTGGAGCGGAGCCTATCGATCCAAGGCGGAAATCGATGCAACCGAAAACTTCGTAAAACTTCCGGAACTGTATATGTGTATATATCGAGTTACTGTAATAACTCTGTACATAATGTACGATACTCAGCATTGGAGCACGAATCATAGGCGTAGTAAGTACTTTACTTGAATCGTTAAAGAATCTGTAAATATCGCACCTTCCAGCTAATGTCTAGATTAGAAACTGTATACACACATTTATAGTGCACGTAATCCTATCGAATATTCTCGAGCGAGAACTGTATATCCGCTTGATATGACAAATTGCTGCGTCTGTTCTTAATTTGTATTTCCCAGTAGTCTACTGTCATCTGTCAAGTAGCCTACTCTCGAAGACATCTCCCAAGCAACCTAGTTCCAAGAATATATCACTCAGTCAACTATCCTTACGAATATGCTTTGCAAGAATGTTCTCTTCGAAGTATACTCGATGCCTACTCTAAAGAATGCTACTATCAAGAGTCTACTTCTTTCTATTCTCAAAAGTACACTTCGACTGCCAAACGCTGATTCAAACTCGTATGCGACCGAGACAATTCCCATAAAACAGAAATGAAACAGTCAAGATTCTTCGTTATATCTTATTCAATAGAACTCAATTCGTTCGACGCGTTACCAGAAAACTGAACGTTCAAGTTAAAAATTGTGGCAGTCGAAGTGTTAAAGAAGTCCCGCCAATCAAAGACACAGGAATTACCGATAAGCTTACTGTCAGCTCGAGATATTCATGGAAAGTCATTCCCATCAGCTCAGGGACTGCATAGGCGAAGCGATACGAGCATCCCCTGGCTTCAACTTCACGGACGTCCAGCTGGCCCAGTTGTTCGTGAACACGACCGCGTGCGTGCTCGCGAAAACGCGCTGCGCGCTGATGAACCCGATCACAGGTGAACTGCAAGACGGCGACCTGGCCAACAAGCTGCACGCGCCCTCGGTGAACGCGATGCTGGTCAACACGGATTACGACATAAACATCGTCCAGCTACCGTTTCATTACGGCAGCATCGACGTCTGCGCGAAGTATAGAAACTACGAGCAGGCGAACTGGCCGACAGTCACCTGCTGATCGCGAATCTCTCGCGGACCTGTACATTAAGGGTATCAAACGGTGGACGAGTACTGACAAGTCCAATGAAAACGTGGAAACGAAAGAATTTCGGCGAGAATCTATTATACATCGAATAATCGAAACGTATGAAGAGAATATTCTGGAATGCTATAAGCATTAACACTAAATTTATGGACGTTTGTTCTATAGACTCGTTTCTAGAAGACTAGGTTCTTTATATAAATCGCGAAAATTCTCGCTTCGAAGAGTATCGCATCGTAGCCGCGTAATTGCACGAGTCGAGATCGACTTGAACTGTTAATGAATAATATTGAAAGAATCTAATATCCGTGAAATTGACGGGTTCGGTAGATCTAGTGTTACTCTGGGAGCGAGGATTGGTTCATCAGGAGATTCAATATGATATAAATGAACGGTATAGACGTTGCTAATTTGATTCCGCGTGTTCCTCTCGAAAGAAGTTTCTGAAAGGAACGGGAATGCCGTTGGAAGGAGAAAACGCTGTTAAAAGGAGCCCCGGCGCCGCGACAGGGGAAATGTTCAATTACCCAAATTACGATAAGCAAAAGATCAAGAGAGAGTTCGGTAGAAACTTTCCCGAGCCGTTACATATGTATGCACACGCCGTTCGTCGCGCGTCCCGCCGCAACTTCGTACTTTAAATCGCGAAAGAAGTCTGAAACATCACCACTTCAAACACCAGGAAAGTCTCGCGTCTTTTTCCACGGGGTGTTTCACTTTTCCATATCGTGCCGCGTTTCGGAGGGTAAACAAAAATTCCGCGGCAAGCCGATGAACGAATCCCGGCTCGTTATTCGCGGACGCGCGTCCCGAAAGCCATCTGAGGAACTATTTGGTTTACGGGCTCGAAGTAAACCGGAATTCGCGTTTCTCGCGGTAGATTTTGTGCACAGTGAAAGGTAATAAAATGAACATTTGTACAACTCAATGTCGTTTCTATAAAACAGCGGCGCAAACCCTTTGCCTCGCAATAAGGTGTCGACTATTAATCGATCCTCGTGAATTCAAATTGATTTATTATCCCCAATTGTCCTCTCTCCATCGATAAATCATTCCACCGATCATTATCGGAAACTGAATCGCGAGGTGAGTAGTCAAGAAAAATACGCAAAGTCCGTTCGACCGTTGTACAACGAAAGTGTCCGGTTCAGCCGATTGAAATTGCGATCCATCCGTTCGGAACGGTAGCGCGGACATTCTAGGACAAACGGAGGCTCGCGATTATTTCCCAACGCAACCTGAATCACGCCGGCGTCCAGCGGCGTTCGCGTCGAAATGAAATTTATGCATTCTCATTAAACAATCGCCTCGAACGACGTATCATAATTGCGTTGTAACGCGGCGTGTCATTCTTAGTCACGTTACGCTATCTTTCGGTGTCATCGGCGGGCTACGTAATCGTTATTAAGTCGACTCTTAAAGCGGCGGCCGCGGCCGTAGCCGGTGTTCCGCGGGTGTTCCCCGCCGCGTCGGCGGCGGTATAACGAAGCGAAGAAGATAAATGGAAAAAATGATTTTCAACGGAGGCGCGCGAGCCGCCGTAAATTCAGCCGAATGTAATTTACAGCCAGCCCGCGCGATTATTATAGTTCCCCGAAGACTGTCCGGAACTAAATTTCAATTCCAAACAGCTACTCGATCTATCCGACACGGCCCCGAAACGCTTCCCCCCGTCGTTCTCGTCAGTCGTGCCTAACACCCGAGAAGTTCATTTACGCCCAACATTCGAGAAGTTCATTCACCCCTACAGTATTTGCTCGCCTCTAGTGCGAATGGAGTTGCCGCCGATTCGCAACTCTAGATTGCAACAATCTTTCTTCGTAGTTCGCCGGCAAGTTGCCGGGCCGCCTCAAAGCGACTCCATGGAATTAATTTGCGACAATGCCGGCCGAGATGGGGAGGGGGGGAAGCGGACCAACCAGATACCGGCAGCGATCCCTGTCATGTTTTACGACCGCTCGGATCCTTGGTAACTGGCCTAGGTGGATTTTGCATATTTATCGCGCGACCGTTCAACGCGGAGAACCGTGACACTGAGGAATCGTTTACGCCACTTTCCTTTCGCTCCCGATTTTTCGGTTCGCCTACGGTCGGTAGCGGAAGTGGGACGATTATCGAACTGGGATCGTCCCTAAGTCAATGGTACAGAGACAGCAGTTGTTTTCTGAAGCTTAAATTAAATTTGAAGTTTGAATAGATCGAGGGACTCCTTGGAACATTTGCCAACGCCTTTGAACTAGTTTCGATCTTGAAACCTCTGAGATGTTACGAAACATGGCACATGTTGACATTCAGTTTCTCTTTAGCTGCAATTACAAATGCTTCGGGAAATTTGAATATAAAGATTCGACTTTTAATAGTTCGCGGAACACATTGAGGCATTCCTCGACTCGTTCGCGTGCAACAGCTTCGATCTGATAATATCGAGGACATTGTAAAACGAGATTTTACAATATCCACGTCGACGTTTCGCTGGTTCGGACCGACTAGCCCCGTTGAAGACACATTAGAAGCCGGTCGGCATTCCGCAACAGATTTCGCCCGGTGTTCAGCGATCCTTCCGGAGATTACACAGCCGGTTGGCTGGCAGATAACGCGGATCCACCCTCGCGGAATTATGGGCCGATATAATCTCAAGAGAGTCGTGACACCCGAAAGTATACACGCGAAACAGCGGCATAACTGGGTGAACATATCGTGCCCGCGTCATCAGCGCGAGCACCGGATGTAGATGCTAAAAGAACGTTTACGATATTACTCATCCGGCAAAGTGATCGTAACGAACGGGCCAATAAACAAGCTTACGTCAAATAATATGGCGGAATATCCGGGGGATGACGCGACAGATAAAAGAGATGATTTTAGGGGGGCCATTAGGTCGCTCGGGTTTCAAAGGATCTCGGAGTTAAAAGTATTTTGATCGGCGTGAGATCGTAAAGATCCCGCAGCTCTCTGCGACAGGGAGAGCGAATAAAATTACATTACTGCCGTTGACTTTCTTACTCACAATTGTATATATATTTACATTAACATGGAACCTGTAAAACATTCGAGCATCAATCGACGCGCTTTCGACGAAACCTGTCGTCTCCGATGCTCGACGAGCGAACGGTGAAGCACTCTTCTATCAGAGTTCAAGACACGTCAAGAATAAGAAAGTTCGCCCGTGTTCTTTGAATGCCGAATTCAATCTCTGTTAAGTGGATTCCCGCCCCTGTTTCGGGTATAAATAATTTTATACTGAATGGACGAGCATTCGGTGGAGTTGTTATAGAAGCTGTAAACCTGCAGTGCGGAGGATATAAACGTGTTCGATCGCCGTTGCGTTTGATCGATCGGACGAAAGACCTGCCGGATGGTCCAGACGTTCGGCCGACGGTAACCGTGTCGGTGTTGCTGCGATGATTCCCCGGCGACAGTAAAGGGTTGTAAGGACAGAGCAAAAGGGGAGAAAAGGGCGGGGAAAGATGAGAAGACGTTTCCTGGAACTGTTAATGGACTCGTCGGGACGGCACGGCGGACTTTGTCTCGGCGGGCGTTCGGACAGTCGACGTTGGCGCAATCCGCGCCGTTATCACGGTGCGACACGTGTAAAATGTAGGAATAAAAATTGATCCCTCTCGGAAGATGAATTTCAATAACAAGTGAAAGCTGTAAAGATCCCTTTATGGAACACCCGCGAAGCGCGCAGTCGTGCGCCGATAAAAAAGAGTTGATTCCTCGAGGAGTTTAGATTTAAACGTAAAAGCGAAGCAGTGAATAAAGGACTTTACGATCGGAGAATATTCTTCTACAAGTGACTGCTCGGACGAACGTTTGGACGCCTTATAAAAGAGTGCAGCGGTGGCCCATGAAACTGCAGCATTGTGTGCAGCTGCGAGATGGATTTGTCCGGAGAGATTCGCGTTTCGCATCCTGGATTCCTTGTGATTAATTATATTCTCTCTAACGTGAATTCGGTATCTCATTACACAGACTGTCACCGTTCACGTTGGAGCTAAATCAAAAACACTTAATCGAAAATCTAATACACACGAAGCTAAAGTCTCGTTATAGAACCAAACAACGAAAATCCTTATTCTCCTTCCACAATGCACAAAATGGAAAAAATACAATATTAAATCATTTGATTAAATCACCGCATTCGGTAGTATTACTTATAATATAGAAATATTGTCAAATAATCTTTCAATTGAATGAACCATAATAATCCGATTTGGTTGGGGGTGACCCCCGCGGCATTCATGTTAAGCAACAGTTCCAAGCAACAAGGCAAACCTAGCCGTCAACCATTAAAGTACCGATCATCCCGGTAACACGTCGCGTGCACCCAATATTTAGTAATCGGATATTCAAAAATCCGGGTACCGTGGAGCAAGAAGGAACAGCTCGCGGAAAGGAAACCGGGTTGTCGGCTTGTTTGCCGAGGCGAAACTCTGGTTAATTCTTTCCGTGAAAAGGAAACTGCGATAGAGGACAAGAAGAAAAAGAAGAAGAAGAAGAAGCAAAAGGAGGCAAAAGGTGAAGAAAAAGAAAGAGGGAATCGGGTAGATCGATTCCGCGACATCGCTGTGCACTCATGTACTTATGAAAGAGCTCGGGCCAGGAGGCAGCGGAGGGACATCTGCCGTGGAGGACGAGGGGAGCGGAGAAAAGAAGCGACGAAGATGAAGGGAAGATCGCTCCATTGCACAGAAGCGACGCTCCACTTAGCATCTTCCTCGAAATAATTTGAAATATGCAAATACCATCGGTGCACGCGTCGGAGGACGGACTCGTCTGCGTGTGTCCTCTCCGGGCGGCGCGGCGGGCGCGTGTGCGCGTGTGCGTGCACCGCGTATCACGGAAGAGAAGGGAGGAAAGGCCGAAGACGCGGGGGAGAAGACAACGTATATTCCAGTGGCTTACGGTTCAGTTCTCTCGGAGCCAATCTAACTTAACATGCAGATGCAGTACGTGGAATCGCGGCGTGCGGCCAGGGGGAGGAGGATCGGGGGTTGGCG